CGGCAATTATGCTCGGAATTATCGGTAATTATGCTCCTAAGATTATAAAGTAAAAAAGACAATAAAGTAAACATCAATGTGCGTGTGTGTGTGTGTGTGTGTGTGTGTCTGTCTGTCTGTCTGTCTGTCTGTCTGTGTGTGTGTGTGTGTGTGTGTGTGTGTGTGTGTGTGTGTGTGTGTGTGTGTCTGTCTGTCTGTGTGTGTGTGTGTGTGTGTGTGTGTGTGTGTGTGTGTGTGAGTATACATAAAGGTGGTGTAAATGTGACGGTAGTTCATGGGGTGTGAACGTGGGTAGTCGGTGCTGCCCTCTGAGGTGGTCGTGGTCTTTTAAGCCATGGAGACAGTGCCAGCCTGGTCTGTCGGGCCCTTCCCCATCTCCTCCTCCCCATCAGGATTTATCAACATCCTCCCACCAACAGTACAGTGCAAAGATTGACCATCAACCCACAACTGATATACAAAAGTGACAATTTCAACTCCAAAGAATGAAACAACTGTTAAGAGTGACACTCGTGCTTTGCCATCAAGGTTGACCTGACGCGGACCTGACTCACCACCACTGGATGAGAACCCAAGAAACGCTCCTAACTACATCAAGAGAGAAATGAGGACTCCCTACTCCACCCAGGTGAGGAACTATGAATACCTAACTATATCACATGAGGAACAAGAGCCATCTCCAACACCCTGTATGAGCTGGAGGACCTACCCGGACCACGTGGTGCATCTGCAGCTGTAGTGAGGTAGCCGCTTAACAGTCAGGCGACAACGGCCATCAAGACAGTGGGAAGGACTTTGTTGGCGTCAACATCAGATCACAAGAATGTCTACAGTCCAGCTCCCTCAGTACCAGATCTACAGTTAATCTATATGTTGACTCTTTGTTTCTTATGTTTTGTATTGAAAGCTTTTGTCAATCAAGTGACCCACTCCCCGATTTCACCAGATGTAACTTATCATCTCTGTTCATTGTATATTTTCAGTTTTCGGGTTGCCATGTTATCTGAATAAACCGTTAATTATTATTATTATTATTATTATTATTATTATTATTATTATTATTATTATTTTATTATTATTATTATTACACACATAAAACATACATTTAAAGACAGACTGACAGACAAACAGACAGAGACAGACAGACAGACAGACACACAGAACCCCCATCATTTTCGATATAAATGGAAGGAGAAAGTTGAGGAAAAGTTAATAGAAAGTTTTATAGAGAGGAAGAAAGTATTGAAGGATGGCAGGAACCTTATTGGGTAGAGCTGGGGACGATACACTGGACGACCTCAATGCGTGCTCAGATTGGCTGGCCTTACATTACGATCAAGGAGAGGTAATTGGGTCGTTAATGGTCGTGTTGACGATAGTTGTGGTGAGTGTGAGTTTTCTCACGATTTTATTTCACCTTAAGGCTAACCTCACCTAACCTAACCCCCCCCAAGGTAGCGTCAAGGTATACTTAACCAAATTAAATAACCTGGAGGTGCTAATATTCAGGTAATCCCAAAATATTAACAATTATAGATTGGCTTTACACATATTAGCCCTATCCTCTGTAACACACACACACACACACACACACACACACACACACACACACACACACAAGGTTCTGGCATCACTTGAATGAACTTAAGATTAACTAAGACTTGAGTCGTGGCTTCACCGTCTTCTAACAGCTTCATTATAGGTCAGGTTAGGTTAGGTTAGGTTTCAATATACATAAGAACATAAGACTGGAGGAAACAGTAACTATTGGCCCATACTGGGCCGTCCCGTTTACACCCAACCCCTATCGCTCATATATCCACCCAACCTGTGTTTGAAGCTATCCAGCGTGTTCCAGTTAATGATGATGTTTGGTAACTTGTTCCATTCGTCCACTACTCTATTTCCAAACCAATGTTTACCTATCTCGCGCCTAAATCTAAATTTGTCTAATTTAAAACCATTGTTACGAGTTCGCTCCTGGTTGGATAGTTTGAGTACCTTTGTAATGTCCCCTTTGTTTAGCCCAGACTTCCATTTATACACCTCTATCATATCGCCCCTCACTCTACGTCTCTCGAGGGAGTGCAAATTGAGATGCTTCAACCTGTCTCTGTACTCAAGGTTCCTAATACTCGGGATTAGTCTTGTCATTCTCCTCTGGATTCTTTCCAAGGATTCTATATCCATCCTGTAATACGGTGACCAGAATTGAACTGCGTAATCCAAGTGAGGTCTCACAAGCCCAAGATATAGTTTTAGGATGACCTCGCTTGTCTTGTAACTAACACTCCTGTGTTTGAACCCAAGTACTTTATTAGCCTTGTTACGAGCAAATACACATTGTTTACTTGGCTTCAGATTCCTACTTATCATTACTCCTAAATCTCTGTCGCAGTCGGATTTCACAATAACATCATTGTTCATCTGGTATCTGGTTTCCCTGTTTACATCTCCTATACTGAGTACTTTACATTTGTCCACATTGAAATTCATCTGCCATTTTTCGGACCATTCGAAAAATTTGTTTAGATCTTTCTGTAGTTTTGCGGAGTCCTCGTCAGATTTAATTACACGCCCTATTTTAGTGTCATCAGCAAATTTACTTAAGTTGCTGTCTACGCCGATATCTATGTCGTTTATGTATATAATAAATAATAATGGTCGAAGTACTGAGCCTTGGGGAACTCCACTAGTGACGTTGCTCCAATGGGATTTAGTGCGGTTAATGCTCACTCGCTGTTTCCTGTCCTGTAACCACGCCCTAATCCATTTAAGGATATAACCTTTAATGCCATGAGCCTCCACTTTTCTTATTAGTCTTTCGTGGGGGACTCTGTCCAAGGCTTTGCTCAAGTCGAGATATACCACATTATAATTGTGCCCCTCGTCCACTGATTCGAAAACAGATGAAAAGAATGCTAATAGATTAGTTAGACATGAACGCCCGCTTGTGAAGCCATGTTGGGAATCATTGATCAACTTGTGCTTCTCCAGGTGAATTCGAATAGTTTGAAATGATTGCTTCCAGTAATTTGCCTACAATTGACGTTAGATTAATTGGACGGTAGTTAGAGCATAGTGATCGATCTCCCTTCTTGAAAACCGGTATTACATTTGCTGTCCTCCAGGATTCTGGTACTACACCCGTTTTTAAGGACATGTTAAACAAATTTGCTAAGGGCATACTAAGCTCTTCCTTACATTCCTTTAATACTCTGACAAATATCTCATCGGGACCTGGTGACATTTATCCATTTAGGGTCATTGTTGTTTGATCTGAGTTTTCTGTATGGTATGTTCTGCCTTTGTGCATTAAGTAACTCATTATTTAAATTGTTGTGGAACGTGTCAACCTCAGATCTCGTTATCAGGTCATCCTCAACCGTCAGGTCTCCAGGTAATGTGAGGTCGCCCTCTGTGGGTACATTGTGTGAGGTCATGTTATTCACCCCCAAGCGAGATACCCCTTCTCTCAGCTGCCTCTTCAAACTATCAAAATTTGCCCTTCTGAAATCTGGGACCTTAGTAGAATTTTCCTTGCGGCTGCCCAGAAATTCTAATTGAAATCTTATTTCATTGTGATCGCTCTTACCAAGTTCGTTCCCTACCTCGACATTACTAATAAGGTTTTCTTTGTTTGACAGAACTAAATCGAGTATATTATTACCCCGGGTGGGTTCGGTTATATGTTGACTTAGGAAACAGTCCTGGGCCGTTTCAAGAAAATCCTCTGATTCTGAGTTACCTGTAAGGTCAGTCCAATCTATTTGGGTAAAGTTAAAGTCGCCTACTATACAGACTTTGCTATGTATGGAAGCCCTGCGCATTTCATCCCAGATAAGTTGCTCATTAACTCTATCATGATTAGGAGGTCTATATATTACTCCTGTGATTAATTTTTCCCTACCATCGATTCCTTCTATCCAAATTGTTTCTGTATTCCGCTCTATTTTTATTTCATTATTTATTTCACACTTCAGATTATCCCTGACATAGATTGCAACTCCGCCTCCTTTCCTAATCTGCCTATCGGTATGGAATAATTTGTAACCTGCAATTTGGTATTCGACATGTAACTCATGTGAGTCTAGGTTTATCCATGTTTCAGTGATTGCTATTATGTCGATTTTTTCGGTACATACCAACGTCCTGATTTCATCCATTTTGTTTCTCGTACTTCTACTGTTTGCGTAGTAGACATTTAAGTTAGTCGTGTTCTGAGTCCTCCCCTTACCGCGTTTAGGTTTTAACTCCCTGTCTAATTTAGTTTTGTCATAATTCCTAACACTATTTCCCTGTAACCTTTCACTTTGTTTACCCGCTCCCACTGCAGTCTCCTCCACCCCCGTGCTCATATGTTCCCCTAGCAGACTGTACATGAGGAGGCAAGTTGGTCAGTACGGTTCCCTCTCACAGCTGGGTCGAACTAGTGATGTATAGGACAAGAGGTGGGTGTTGTAGCCATTCTCCCCCACTCTGGATGGGGACAAACGAGGGCCAATCACGTTGATGCATTACGAGTGACGTCATGACACGTGCACCAATAAGAGGTCGCCTTCTGTACAGACTGGTGACCTCACGGATGACGCGTACTACGAGGGTTGTACAAGTGGGAGCTGTACAAGTAGGGGCTGTACAAGTGGGAGCTGTACAAGTGGGGGCTGTACAAGTGAGAGTTGTACAAGTGATGGCTGTACAAGTGGGGGCTGTACAAGTGGGGGCTGTACAAGTGAGGATTGTACAAGTGATGGCTGTACAAGTGATGGCTGTACAAGTGGGGGCTGTACAAGTGGGAGCTGTACAAGTGATGGCTGTACAAGTGATGGCTGTACAAGTGGGGGCTGTACAAGTGGGGCTGTACAAGTGGGAGCTGTACAAGTGGGCTGTACAAGTGGGACCTGTACAAGTGGGGCTGTACAAGTGATGGCTGTACAAGTGGGGCTGTACAAGTGGGGGCTTTACAAGTGGGAGCTGTACAAGTGAGAGTTGTGCCAGTGATGGCTGTACAAGTGGGGCTGTACAAGTGGGAGCTGTACAAGTGGGGCTGTACAAGTGGGAGCTGTACAAGTGAGTGGCCAAGTGATGGCTGACAAGTGGGGCTGGCCAAGTGGGGGCTGTACAAGTGGGAGCTGTACAAGGAGCCAAGTGGGGGCTGTACAAGTGGGAGCTGTACAAGTGAGGTTGACAAGTGGGGCTGTACAAGTGGGGCTGTACAAGTGGGGGTGCAAGTGGGGGCTGTACAGGTGGGAGCTGTACAGGTGGGGCTGTACAAGTGGGGGCTGTACAAGTGGGGCTGTACAAGTGGGAGCTGTACAAGTGAGGTTGTACAATGTGGGGCTGTACAAGTGGGGGCTGTACAAAGTGAGGTTGTGCAAGTGGGGGCTGTACAGGTGGGAGCTGACAGGTGGGGGCTGCAAGTGGGGGCTGGCCAGTGGGGCTGTACAAGTGGGAGCTGTACAAGTGGGAGTTGTGTGAGTGAGGCTGGCAAAGTGGGGGCTGTACAAGTGAGAGTTGTGCAGTGAGGGCTGTACAGGTGGGAGCTGTACAGGTGGGGCGCACAAGTGGGGGCTGTACAAGTGGGGCTGTACAAGTGGGAGCTGTACAAGGAGGTTGACAAGTGGGGCTGTACAAGTGGGGGCTGTACAAGGAGAGTTGTGCAAGTGAGGGCTGCAGGTGGGACTGTCAAGTGGGGGCTACGAAGTGGGAGCTGTACAAGTGGGGGCTGTACAGAACTAACCATCATCACATTAAAATCTTTTGATCACCTGACGATTAAAACCCCAGAGATATATTGGGCCCCAACTCACACCCTCCACTTTGTTCTCCCCTCCAACCTCCCTCCCCCTCCCCCTCCCGTACTTCGTCACGTAGGAATTTCATTACGTCATGACTAAGGAGTTGCCAGAGAATACAATTCACTTTTATTATGTCCTTATCATTTAATTTTATCTTTCTTGTTCCTTTATTCTGTTTTTTTTCTCTTGTGTTTCGTTATCTCTGTCTTTAATTTTATCTGTCTCTTAATTTTCTCTCCCTGTCTCTCATATTTTATCTCTATGTCTCTAACTTTATCTCTATGTCCCTCTTTATCTCTTAAGTGTCCGCCTCTCTCTCTCTCTGTGTCTCTCTCTCTCGTTGTCTAAGTCTCTCTTTGCTTCTCCTTCAATGTCCTTCTGTCTCTTTGTTTGTATGTCTGTCTATGTCTCTTTACCTGTATCTCTCTCTCTCTCTCTCTCTCTCTCTCTCTCTCTCTCTCTCTCTCTCTCTCTCTCTCAGGGAGACAGCATCAGGTTTAATTAGGTGATGAAAATGACAACAGTAGAGGGGAGAGGTGAGGAGAGGGAGAGGTGAGGGGAGAGAGAGAGGAATGAGGGGAGACAGGTGTGGGGAGACAGGTGTGGGGAGACAGGTGTGGGGAGAAGCTAGAGTACTTGTATCGGTGTCTCTTATAGCGACGCTTTAGCTTGACCAATATGGCGGCGGTTTAATATTTTCTATTAGTATTTTTATTTACTTATTAATAAATTGTCGTTTATCATCTTACATTTATTTTGAACATTCGACGGTGATGTCTCTGATGAACAGCACAGCACAACACAGCACAGCACAGCACAACACAGCACAGCACAACACAGCACAACACAACACAGCACAGCACAACACAACACAGCACAGCACAATACAGCACAGCACAGCACAACACAGCACAACACAACACAGCACAATACAGCACAGCACATACAGCACAGCACAGCACAACACAACACAGCACAGCACAACAGCACGGCACAGCACAACACAGCACAACACAACACAGCACAATACAGCACAGCACAAACACAGCACAGCACAACACAGCACAGCACAACACAGCACAACACAACTAGCACAGCACAACCTGGCACAGCACAACAATACAGCACAGCACAGCACAACACAACACAACACAACACAGCACAATACAGCACAGCACAATACCCAACACAACACAGCACAACACAACACAGCACAGCACAACAGCACGGCACAGCACAACCACCACAGCACAACACAGCACAGCACAACCTGGCACAGCACGGCACAACACAACAAAACACAGCACAGCACAACTAACCACAGCACAGCACCAGCACAACTTACAGCACAGCACAGCACAACAAAAACACAACTAGCACAGCACAACACAGCACAACACAACACAGCACAGCACCAGCACAGCACAACACAACACAGCACAACACAACAAAACACAGCACAACACAACACAGCACAACACAACACAACACAACACAACACAGCACAGCACAACACAGCACAGCACAACACAACACAGCACGGCTCAACACAACACAACAGCACAACACAGCACAGCACAACACAGCACAACCACAGCACAACACAACACAACACAACACAGCACACGGCACAACACAACACAACACAACACAGCACAGCACAACACAACACAACACAACACAACAAACACAGCACAACACAACACAGCACAACACAACACAGCACAGCACAACACAACACAACAAAACACAGCACAGCACAACACGGCACAACACAACACAACAACAAAACACCAGCACCAACACAGCACAGCACAGCACAACACAACAAAACACAGCACAGCACAGCACAACACAGCACAACACAACAACACAACACAACACAGCACAACACAACAAAACACACAGCACAACACAACACAGCACAACACAACACCAGCACAGCACAACACAACACAACAAAAACACAGCACAACACAACACGGCACAACACAACACAACAAAACACAGCACAACACAGCACAGCACAGCACAACACAACAAAACACAGCACAGCACAGCACAACACAGCACAACACAACACAACACAGCACAACACAACAAAACACAGCACAACACAGCACAACCACAACAAAACACACAGCACAACACAGCACAGCACGGCACAACACAACACAACACAACACAGCACAGCACAGCACAACACAACACAGCACAGCACAGCACAACACAGCACAACACAACCACAACACAGCACAGCACAACACAGCACAGCACAACACAGCACAACACAACAAAACACAGCACAACACAACACAGCACAACACAACAAAACACAGCACAACACAGCACAGCACAACACAGCACAACACAACAAACACAGCACAACACAACACAGCACAACACAACAAAACACAGCACAACACAGCACAACACAGCACAACACAACACAACACAGCACAACACAACAAAACACAACACAGCACAGCACAACACAGCACAGCACAACACAGCACAACACAACAACCTCCCCGGCAGCGAGTCTCAGCACCGATGTCACGGCGCTACAAGTCTGGGAAAGTTTTACCGCCAGGTGTGGCCATCTCCGGGGGCCACAACCTGCCTCAGGGCCCTGCACCAACACCTCCCGGGGCCCTGGCCGCTAACACCTACAGTACAGCTACCTGGCCTGCCTCCCGGGGCCTGGCCACCAACACCTACAGTACAGCTACCTGGCCACCAACACCTCCTGGGGCCCTGGCCACCAGCACCTCCCAGGGCCTGGCCACCAACACCTCCTGAGGCCCTGGCCACCAACACCTACAGTACAGCTACCTGACCAACACCTCCTGGGGCCCTGGCCAGTACCTACAGTACAGCTACCTGGCCAGCTTACCTCCTGGGGCCCTGGCCACCAACACCTACCTGGCCACTATACACTGTTGTTAAGTACTCACTAACAATAACTCAGTATCAGTACAGTGTGAGGCGGGACACTGCTTCACCCTCACACCTGAACCTTTTTCTCATTATTAGTCAAGTTTGTCAATAAATCCTGTGAGTTCTAAAACAACTTCAGACACTTGTAAGCAAACTACCCCCTGTAGACAATTACCCTCAGGTAGAGAACCATTGGTGACTCATGGTGATATATCAATCTACTTGTGTGTGACGTAAGCGGTACCTCACCAGAGAGAGAGAGAGAGAGAGAGACAGGCTATCAGACACACACAAAGACTCATCAGAAAATAAACAAACATATAAACGAGAAAAAACCAATAGCTTGAACGCAGCTAAACACAACAGCCTGACCCATTTTCTGTAAAGGCTTGAGAGCAAGTGTGGGGGACTCAACTATAAAGCCAGACACCCTTAGCCGCCGTCGAAACTGATAAACATTTCTTACTTTTTGGGGAATTAAAATCACATTCCATCAAGTAAATTAACCACAGATGTTCAAATAAAAGTATAATTTATATATAAGTAGAATTTTTTTCCATATGAGATTTATTTTATTTATTTTTAGTCTTTTTTATGCCAATGGTGATAAATATTTTGGTGGACGAAAACATTTGACGCCTCAGCACATAATATATCACTTGACCCATAACTCAGGGATACCGGAGTATAAATCTTATGCCCTGACCAGGAGGCAGGAGAGAGAGATTAAATACACAAGTACACTACCATATATCCCTGGAGACACGTTAATTAAATACACAATAACCACCCACTCATCCACCTCCCACCCACTCATCCACCCACTCATCCAACACCACACCACCCACTCATCCACCAATTCATCCACCTCCCACCCACTCACTCATCCAATAACCAGCCCACTCACCCACTCATCCAACATCTACCCACCCCACTCATCCACCAATTCATCCACCTCCCACCCACTCACTCATCCAATAACCAGCCCACTCACCCACTCATCCACACAGTCATCCACTCTCATTTTCTCCTTTACTCTCCTTCGTTTTATCTTTCTCATCCATTTCTTCCCCTTTCTACAACACATTTATTGATGTTACCCCCCCCCCTCTCTCTCTCTCTCTCTCTCTCTCTCTCCCATCCCAGGTTGTGTGACAGTGGGATAAACCAGTCAACCAGCCAACCCACCAACCCACCAACCCACCCACCAACCAACCCACCCACCCACCAACCCACCCCGGGCGTGAAGTAACATGGGAACAACAATGGTCACCCAAGCCATAACCGATGACCTAAAGTTGAACATTTGTATTCCTCTCACAGCTCTTACAGACGGGTTGGCCACTACGAGCAGGAGTCACCGATCATACTGTGGCCAGAGTTTACTGTTGTGTGTGTTGGGTGTGGCCCTGATGACGAAGGGTGGGGTGGGGGGGTGGGGGGTGAGGGGTGAGGTGGAGAGCGAGGGGTGGGGAAGAGAGGGTAGGGAGGAGGGAGAGTGAGAGGGAAGGCATGTGTAGGCTCTAGGTGATCTGACTCCTCAATAGCTGCTGTAACCTAGGGTGATCCTTTACGACGACTTAACCTAATTCCATCTGATCTAACCTAACCTGACCTAACCTAACCTAACCTACACCTAACCTGACCTAACCAAACCTGACCCAACCTAACCTGACCTAACCTAACCTGACCTAACCTAACCTGACCTAACCTAACCTAACCTAACCTGACCTAACCTGACCTAACCAAACTGACCTATAAACCTAGCCTAACAAACCTGACCCTAACTGCCTGACCTAACCTAACCTAACCTAACCTGACCTAACCTGACCTAACCTGACCTAACCCCTAACCTAACCTAACCTAACCTAATCGCAAGGTCCCAAGACTTCTGTAAACTCATTGCGACAGTCTTGTGATATAGTGATGGTGAACTGTAAGTGTATGTACTGACTGACTGTCTGTCTGTCTGTCTGTCTGTCTGTGTTCTTATCTGACTGTATTTCTCTGCGTCTGTTTATTTGTCTGTCTTTCTTTATGTCTGTCTGTCTGTCTCTCCCCCCGTCTCTCATTTCTCTATCCTCTCACGTTTTCTCTTCCCCCTTTTATTATCTTAGCTTCTTTGCTTCCTTCCGTCTCTTATCTTCCTCGTTTCCTTCTACCACCCCTCACCCCCAGTGTCAGCATTCCCCCAGTGTCAGCATTCCCCCAGTGTCAGCATTCCCCCAGTGTCAGCATTCCCCCAGTGTCGCATTCCCCCAGTGTCAGCATTCCCCAGTGTCAGCATTCCCCAGTGTCAGCATTCCCCAGTGTCAGCATTCCCCAGTGTCAGCATTCCCCAGTGTCAGCTTACATTCCCCCAGTGTCAGCATTCCCCAGTGTCAGCATTCCCCAGTGTCAGCATTCCCCAGTGTCAGCATTCTCAGTGTCAGCATTCCCCAGTGTCAGCATTCCCCAGTGTCAGCATTCCCCCAGTGTCAGCATTCCCCCAGTGACAGCATTCCCCCAGTGTCAGCATTCCCCAGTGACAGCACCCTAGTGTCAGCATTCCCCCAGTGTCAGCATTCCCACCAGTGTCAGCATTCCCCAGTGTCGCATTCCCCAGTGTCAGCATTCCCCCAGTGTCAGCATTCCCCCAATTGTCAGCATTCCTCCAGTGTCAGCATTCCCCAGTGTCAGCATTCCCCAGTGTCAGCATTCCCCAGTGTCAGCATTCCCCAGTGCATTCCCCCAATGTCAGCATTCCCCAGTGTCAGCATTCCCCAGTGTCAGCATCCCTCCAGTGTCAGCATTCCCCCAGTGTCAGCATTCCCCAGTGTCAGCATTCCCCAGTGTCAGCATTCCCCAGTGTCAGCATTCCACCAGTGTCAGCATTCCCCAGTGACAGCATTCCCCAGTGTCAGCATTCCCCAGTGTCAGCATTCCCCCAGTGTCAGCATCCCCAGTGACAGCATTCCACCAGTGTCAGCATTCCACCAGTGTCAGCATTCCCCAGTGTCAGCAATTCCCCAGTGACAGCATTCCCCAGTGTCAGCATCCCCCAGTGTCAGCATTCCACCAGTGTCAGCATTCCCCAGTGTCAGCTTCCCTAGTGTCAGCATTCCCCAGTGTCAGCATTCCCCAGTGTCAGCATTCCCCCAGTGTCTGCATCCCCCAGTGACAGCATTCCTCCACTGTCAGCATTCCCACCAGTGTCAGCATTCCCCAGTGTCAGCAATTCCCCAGTGTCAGCATTCCCCAGTGTCAGCATTCCCCAGTGTCAGCATTCCCCAGTGTCAGCATTCCCCAGTGTCAGCATCCCCAGTGACAGCATTCACCAGTGTCAGCATTCCCCAGTGTCAGCAATTCCCCAGTGACAGCATTCCCCAGTGTCAGCATCCCCCAGTGACAGCATTCCACCAGTGTCAGCATTCCCCCAGTGTCAGCATTCCCCAGTGTCAGCATTCCCCAGTGTCAGCATTCCCCAGTGTCAGCATTCCCCAGTGTCAGCATTCCCCAGTGTCAGCATCCCCAGTGACAGCATTCCTCCACTGTCAGCATTCCACCAGTGTCAGCATTCCCCAGTGTCAGCATTCCCCAGTGTCAGCATTCCCCAGTGTCAGCATTCCCCAGTGTCAGCATTCCCCAGTGTCAGCATCCCCCAGTGACAGCATTCCACCAGTGTCAGCATTCCACCAGTGTCAGCATTCCCCAGTGTCAGCAATTCCCCAGTGTCAGCATTCCCAGTGTCAGCATTCCCCAGTGTCAGCATTCCCCCGTCAGCATTCCCCAGTGACAGCATTCCCCAGTGTCAGCATTCCCCAGTGTCAGCATTCCCCAGTGACAGCATCCCCAGTGTCAGCATTCCCCAGTGTCAGCATTCCCCAGTGTCAGCATTCCCCAGTGTCAGCATTCCCCAGTGTCAGCATTCCCCAGTGTCAGCATTCCCCAGTGTCAGCATTCCCCAGTGTCAGCATCCCCAGTGACAGCATTCCACCAGTGTCAGCATTCCACCAGTGTCAGCATTCCCCCAGTGTCAGCAATTCCCCCAGTGTCAGCATTCCCCAGTGTCAGCATTCCCCCAGTGTCAGCATTCCCCCAGTGACAGCATTCCCCAGTGTCAGCATTTCCCCCAGTGACAGCATCCCCCCACTGTCAGCATTCCTCCAGTGTCAGCATCTTCCCCACACTTCCATAATTATGCAATCAGCCAAACGTCAGTCAGGCAAGAGTCAGCAGGAGTGAGGGAGGGACGAGGCGGCATGTCAACTGATACTGTCATCTGATGTCAGCAAACGTCAGCGAGTGTCAGCTATCACGAAACACTTCCACGTAATATTTTTTTCACTTCATTTTAAACTAACCATAGTAACCAGTTTAGGACGAGTTGCAATAATTATTTTAGTTTTTACAATTTTATATTTTATTTCTGTTATGTATTTATCTTTACTATAAACTCTATTATTATTATTATTATTATTATTATTATTATTATTATTATTATTATTATTATTATTATTATTATTAATTTTCCTGAACGATAAAGTCTAATTTTGTTAATCTGGTTTATTATAATTTTTAAGAGTTTATTTACTAATTTATTTGTGATATTTGGGTTATATTATAAAAGTCTTAATCTATAGTAATGTTTGTAAATAATAAGGTGTGGCTATTTTCGTGTTATGTAAGTATAAGTGGAGGTGCTTCTACGTCTGGCAGGTCGGTCGGGGGGTGACGACGACCTCTTAGTGTGTGTGTGTGTAAACGTTAATTTATCTGAACCATAAAGAGAAGACCGTCAGATACCTCTCCTCACACATACGGACATATAGTTAATATACAATGGCCTCTCCTTCACCCGAATGTAGTAAGTGTTCCTGTAATTCACCATCTCGCTACCTGGGGTCACTGTCATAATCAGCTGATCCGTGTAAACAAAACGTTGCTAGGTAGGAATTATTTAAAGGTTTATGGCAGCAGGACTCGAGGCGGTTAGTGATTGGTTGAAGGTTACACACACGCACACGCACGCACACACCACACGCACACACTATACTTAGGAACAAGAAACTAATATATGCTGAGAAGGTAGTCATTAAATCCTCGGCCATTAAGAGACTGTATAATTTAGTGTGAGGGAGAGAGAGAGAGAGAGAGAGAGAGAGAGAGAGAGAGAGAGAGAGAGAGTTTGCAAAGTGCGGTCTCCGTTCTCTCTCGCCAGGCTTTAGGTCTAACTCATATAAGCTACTTCAGTGTAACCTAACCTAACCTAACCTGACCTGACCTGACCTGACGTGACCTGACCTGACCTGACCTCTTGTATAGCATAACACATTTTGATATATTAGATGATTTAAATAGTTGACCAAAACAATCATAGCTGACAAAGTGATTTTATCTTCATATTCAAGATGGTGTGTGTGTGTGTGTGTGTGTGTGTGTGTGTGTGTGTGTGTTGTGTGTGTGTGTGTGTGTGTGTGTGTGTGTGTGTGTGTGTGTGTTGTGTGTGTGTGTGTGTGTGTGTGTGTGTGTGTGTGTGTGTGTGTGTGTGTGTGTGTTGTGTGTGTCTGTGTGTGTGTGTGTGTGTGTGTTGTGTGTGTGTGTGTGTTGTGTGTGTGTGTGTGTGTGTGTGTGTGTGTGTCTGTGTGTGTGTGTTGTGTGTGTCTGTGTGTGTGTGTGTGTGTGTGTGTGTGTGTGTCTGTGTGTGTGTGTGTGTGTGTGTTGTGTGTGTCTGTGTGTTGTGTGTGTGTGTGTGTGTGTGTGTTGTGTGTGTCTGTGTGTGTTGTGTGTGTGTGTCTGTGTGTGTGTGTGTTGTGTGTGTGTCTGTGTGTGTGTGTGTTGTGTGTGTGTGTGTGTGTGTGTGTGTGTGTTGTGTGTTATTCAGGGTCAGAAGGACATATATATGTCTCTCAAACAAGGATCTGGATAAATGGTGTGTGTACCTTTGTCTCTCTCTCTCTCTCTCTCTCTCTCTCTCTCTCTCTTCTCATCTTTTCTTTTCTCTCTTCATCCTCTTAGTCTTCTTCCTCTTCTTCTTTATCTTCTTCTTTCTTCGTGTTCTTAATTTTCTTCTTCTTCTACTTCTTCATTTGGCTCTTCCTGTTCCCTTCTTCCTTATTCCTCACTTCTTCCTTATTCCTCTTCTCTCTCCTTCTTCCTCTTCCTCCCCTCCCCACACACTAATGCCCAAAGACGCCTTCAAGCCTGGACAAGAACCCGGGACATGAAACTGCTAAACCACCTCATGTCAATTAAGTCGATCTTCATGAGCCATAAGTAAGAGATTTTGAACCTTTTAAGTCTTCATGTTATGGAGTTGTCTTAGCCTCAGGACGTTCGTGAGGTGCTGATGACGTCACGAGGGTGGAATAAATATGGAGAGAAGAGAGAGAGAGAGAGAGAGAGAGAGAGTCCACCCCCACCCTCCTACCCTACCACTACCTGTCTGCCATTATTAATTACAAATTCACTTTCCGCATCACCTAACACACTTTTATCTCATGTTCTCTCTCTTCCCGTCTTTCTTTAAGTTATCTGTCGTCTGCTTTATCTTTTTCTGACCCTCCGTTTGTTTTTCTAGATTTTTTCTCTATGTATCGGTGGTCACCTTCCTTCATTCTGTCATGGTGCTGAACGATTGTTAATGAATCTTTTGTGTTTGGCCTTGTTCTTACGGTTAACAACAACAACAACAACAACAACAACAACAACAACAACAACAACAACAACAACAACAACAACAACAACAACAACAACAACAACAACAACAACAACAACAACAACAACAACAACAACAACAACAACAACAACAACAACAACAACAACAACAACAACAACAACAACAACAACAACAACAACAACAACAACAACAACAACAACAACAACAACAACGACAACATAATAATAATAATAATAATAATAACAACAATAATAATAACGATAACTAATAATAATAATAATAATAATAAAATAATAATAATAATAATAATAATAATATAACAATAACAATAACAATAATAATAATAATAGTAATAATAATAATAATAATAATAATAATAATAATAATAATAATAATAATAATAATAATAATAATAATAACAATAAATAAATAAAATAATAATAATAAAATAATAATAATACAATAAATAAAAAAAATAATAACAATAATAATAACAATAATAATAATAACAATAATAACAATAACTAATAACAATAATAATAATAATAATAACAATAATGCCACCACCACTAGAGAGTAAAGGCATATAACAGAAAATATGTCCCAACTCTTAATAAATATGTCATAAGGTGTCATTTTCGGCGGATGATTCCAGAAACATATTAGTAAATAAGTGAAGGTCTATATACAAGTACCTGTGATATGTTAACGTACATTCACTTAACGTTTATCAGCTTAAAAAAAAATATCTATACCAAATTGTGTCGAAACAATATGACACAACGGACGAAGGATTTTGACAACCCTGCAGGTGACTAGGGCAGGTACAGGTGACTAGGGCAGGTACAGGTGACTAGGGCAGGTACAGGTGACTAGGGCAGGTACAGGTGACTAGGGCAGGTACAGGTGACTAGGGCAGGTACAGGTGACTAGGCCAGGTACAGGTGACTAGGACAGGTCAGTAGGTAGTAGGCAGCTACCAAACAGGGAGGTACTACCGCCTGGGAAGATATTGGAAGCATAATGTGTTGTCTAATGGTAGACCCTGCTGCCATATGTGACCAAGTCCCAGGTTGATGATCTGACTTTCTGCCTCATTTACACACAATTGCAGGGTCTCAATTGTTTCTCTTACTATTGACAACACAACATAATGAGTTAACCCCTTGAGGACGATGACTTAACCCTTTGAGGACGATGACTTACCCCTTTGAAGACGATGACTTAACCCCTTGAAGACGATGACTTAACCCCTTGAAGACGATGACTTAACCCCTTGAGGACGATGACTTAACCCCTTGAAGACGATGACTTAACCCCTTGAGGACGATGACTTAACCCCTTGAAGACGATGACTTAACCCCTTGAAGACGATGACTTAACCCCTTGAAGACGATGACTTAACCCCTTGAGGACGATGACTTAACCCCTTGAGGACGATGACTTAACCCCTTGAGGACGATGACTTAACCCCTTGAGGACGATGACTAACCCTTGAAGACGATGACAGGTGACATGAAGATTAGCTAAAACCTGAATCTTCAGGTGAAATAAACTATTAGAACAATACCTTTCGTAACCCATGCCAGGTAAGGTGTCTAATCTTCAGGTGAAATAAACTAGGGGGCTAATAAGGGCTAATCTTCAGGTGAAATAAACTAGGGGGCTAATAAGGGCTAATCTTCAGGTGAAATAAACTAGGGGGCTAATAAGGGCTAATCTTCAGGTGAAATAAACTAGGGGGCTAATAGGGGCTAATCTTCAGGTGAAATAAACTAGGGGGCTAATAAGGGCTAATCTTCAGGTGAAATAAACTAGGGGGCTAATAGGGCTAATCTTAGGGGCTAATAAGGGCTAATCTTCAGTGAAATAAACTAGGGGGCTAATAAGGGCTAATCTTCAGGTGAAATAAACTAGGGGGCTAATAAGGGCTAATCTTCAGGTGAAATAAACTAGGGGGCTAATAGGGGCTAATCTTCAGGTGAAATAAACTAGGGGGCTAATAAGGGCTAATCTTCAGGTGAAATAAACTAGGGGGCTAATAAGGGCTAATCTTCAGGTGAAATAAACTAGGGGGCTAATAAGGGCTAATCTTCAGGTGAAATAAACTAGGGGGCTAATAAGGGCTAATCTTCAGGTGAAATAAACTAGGGGGCTAATAAGGGCTAATCTTCAGGTGAAATAAACTAGGGGGCTAATAAGGGCTAATCTTCAGGTGAAATAAACTAGGGGGCTAATAAGGGCTAATCTTCAGGTGAAATAAACTAGGGGGCTAATAGGGGCTAATCTTCAGGTGAAATAAACTAGGGGGCTAATCTTCAGGTGACCTGGTTTTAATTGAATAGTTTTTAACTAAGACGAGAATTATGAAATGCAAAATCAGAGATGAAATTTTTAGATTAATTCTACTGTATGTAATGACTAATGTTACTTTGAAGACGTACTTAAATAAGTCTAAGGTGTTGGTGAACCTTATTTCACTTATTACTGTACCTGGTCTAAGAAATACTGCAATTGGTTCACGTAAAGATGACTCCCAAGCTTAGGATTAAACACACAAAGGTAA